TGAATCCTGGGGCGGGCGACGCTGCCGAGCGCCCTCTGTGCCGAGGTGGGCGAGGCATGCTGTTTGGGCAGCTTGAGACGGCCTTTGAGATCAGAGTCCAGAGTTTCCGTGGGCGTCGTGCCGCGCTCGGGCAGCGATGTGGGAGTTTGCAGGTTGTTGATTTTTGTGCCCACTGGGCCTGTGTGCATCCGAGGTCCACGGGGCTCTGGACTGCGAGTTGGCCTCTCTGCGTCGTGGCGTGGGCAGGATGTCTGTGCCGTTGTCTGGGGTGTGGGGCCCGTGTTGGCTCTCGGCAGGTACCCCAGTGGTGTGCGATGCTAAAGAGTTCTCGGGTGATGAATGCGTCGTCGTCAGATGCCTTTTGCAATTCAGATAGTCCCGGCAGGCTCGTGGACGTGCTTAGTCTGCCTAGGGGGGGAGGGGTCCGAAAGCGCGTCGAGGTCATGATGCTCTTTGTGATATGGTTTCGGTTGGGCTTGAGGTCTCTCGCGGAGCCCGCGGGCGATTTCCGCGAGGCGCTGGCCGCGACTGCCCTGCCCCCGACCGCTGGTCGAGGCCGCTGTGCGAGACGGGGCGCTCAGCTTCAGAAGGGGGTCTGGCATGTCTATCAGGAGGAACAAAAACATACAGACACAAATAATCGTGGACCCCCAGGAACATTTAGGACAATTTGGGACGTTGGAGGGGAGATGAGATACAAGAAAACATTGGAAACTATTGGGATTAGTGTGCATTCATTGGTGTGTCTCTGGGCCCCTTTAGAAGGCTCCAGCGTAGGCCATGCTATGACGTGACTGAGGTTCAGGTGCTCTGCGGCAAGTTCGCGCCGCACTGGACATGATGCATCTGTGGGTCAGTTGTGGAGCTGCGTGGGCCATGGGTCGAGCAGTCTAGGCCAGCTGCCGTTTGCGGTGCGTTGTGTGCCATTTCCGCTGGAGCTGCTGGCCGGCGCCTAGCGGCGCGCGCCGGCTGGGGCTGAGGCCCGCCGGGCCAGGCGCGGGCCAGCGCGCCTCCCTGCCCAGCCCGCGCCTGTGTCGCTGTCGTGTCGTCTGTCGTCCCCGTCGTCGGCTCGCGGGCCGTTCCCTTGCTCTTGCCGCGGGGCTCCTCTTGCGCTTGCAGAACATTTGCACTTTTCGCTGGGTGGTTTAGGATTCGCCCATGATTGCCTTTGGCCTTTTTCTGGCCGCTAGGAATTTGCGCTGCGATCTGGTTCTGCAGTGTATCCAAGATGCGGCCCGATCGATCGACTGTAGCGAAGTCAAGCATCGCCTGTATTTGCTGAGGGGAGTGTCCCCGCGCCAGGGCGACTGTTGGGCCTCTCGACTGCGGCGGGATGGGGGAGTTGCGTTTCCTCGGGGAACGATCCCGCGGGGGAGGGCGCAGCAGTCCATGGCGCAGCATAATTGGGGAGCTTTCTCGAGCAAGCTGGCGGCTTGCAGCCCGCCGTGATACGGGAGGCCTTTTGCGCTGTGTGCATGGTGCACTTGGGCCCCGCTCTCCCGGGCGAGCGAGAGAGAGGGGTCTGGGCCTCTGGAAGTCTCCTCGCAGTGCTTCGTGGGGCCTTCGAGATCCGTTCCGATGGCTCTAGTGCGGTTAGGGCTCAATGAGACCCTGAGGATGTTTAGCCATTTCAGACAAGGCCCTGCTCGGGCTTGCCGTGTTCGGCCGTGTCTGTATTGGGAGGCGCTTCGGAAAGCCAGATCCCGCTTTGAGCTTGCATATTCTGATCCCCCAACTCCCCTGGAGACCCTTTTCAAGCCAGGTGCTTGGCTGCCGTGCTGAGGCTGCGTCTCCACCCAGGGCCGTCAGAGGCCGAACTGGGGGATTTCGCCTGGCGCGTTCGCGTTGCCATGTCTGTTGCCTGGATGGCCAAGGCTCGATCTGACGGGGGTCGAAGTCCTGAGAACCCCAAGGGTCGCCAAGGCCCCAGGCTCCAATTTCGAGCATGATTGGACCTGGCAGAAGTCATGGTGGACGTGTGGCGCTCGTCGGCGCTTCAAGCGTCAAGGTGACCGACCCTCGTCCGCAGGATGTTCTGGGGAGCTGCCCTTGCTGATTTTTTTGGGTGGAAGATCAGGGGCACGCGCTCCATTCGTGCGACCGCTCTGCCGAATCCCTGCTGTTTTGTGGTGTCCTCCGTGCAGGGTCCACACGATGGATTGTATTGCTTTGTTCGGCGGGCACTGTCGGCACCAGGCCACGAAGGAGAACAGGGATGATCCTTGGCCCGAGGAGGTCGGTTTTGCGGTCGGCAGCCTTGTTTTTGATTTGGCTTCTAGCAGGGGAAGGCCACGGTCAACAACATCCTCCCATCCCTCCTTTGCCTCTTCTTGCGCTCCCTCATCCTGGGTTTCTTCTCTTTTTCCCTGCTTCCTCTCCCGCTCCCCTCTTCCTCCCCGTTCTTTGCCTACTTCCCGCGTGCCATCGCCCCTTCCTCTTTTCTCCTCTCCTCCCTGGCTCTTCTATCCGCCACCTCCCTCCTCTTCCTCGTCCTCCTTCACCTCCTCCCCCCCCCGCTTCGTTCTTGTATTGCTCCTCCTCCTTCTCCATCTTTTTCCGTCTTCCGTCTTCCCCCGTTCTTTCTCGTCTTCACCTTTCCTTTCCTCTTCGCTCCATTTCCTCCTCCTCCTCCTCCGTTCTTGTTTTGTTCCTCCTGTGTCAGTCCTTCTCCGTTTTCCGTGCTTTGCCATTTCACGCGGGTTATCACGTTCCTTCTCTTCCTCATATTTCTTTTCTTCTTCGCTCCGCTTCCTCCTTCTCCTCCTCCTCCTCCTCGGTCGTTGTCTTGTTCCTCGTCCTTCTCTATCCTTCTCCGTCTCCCGTCTTCCCCCCATTCTTTCCCTCGCGTTGTCACGTTCCTCCTCTTCCTCTTGTTTCTTTTCCGCTTCGCTCCCTCCTTTTCACTCTTCCGTCTTCCCCCACTCTTTCTCGCGCAGGAGGACGAGGAGGAGGAGGAGGACGAGGAGGAGAACGAGGAGGAGGAGGAGGTGGGGAGGTGGAGAAGGAGGAGAAGGAGGAGGAGGACGACACAGATGATGCTAAGGAGGAAGAGGAAAAGGAGGATGCGGAGGAGGATGAAGATTTAGGAGTGAAGAGCTAGCATCGAGGAGCGAGGGGTGTGGAAGGAGGAATGGGGAATGAGGAACGATGATGCTGCTGCTGCTGATGCGGATGCTGATGCTGATGCTGATGCTGATGATGATGATGCTGCTGATGCTGATGCTGATGCTGATGCTGATGATGCTGATGGTGATGATGATGATGATGCTGCTGCTGCTGCTGATGATGATGATGATGATGAGGAGGAGGAGGAGGAGGAGGAGGTGGAGGAGCAGGACGAGACGGACCAGGAGGACGAGGATGAGCAGCGTACGTAAATCCAATCTTCACCAACGACATGCAATAAACCTCCCTCCAAGTTCCCTCTTTGTAGACCCCATACACAGGTTCATGATCATTGAGGGAAGTGCCCAGTTGGAATGCAACCGTTCGAAAACCTGGCGCTGTGCCAGGGCAGCTTTCCTGGGACTTCAACGCCGCGAATCACCAATACTGTTGCGTCTTGACGGTCCTGAACCGTGCCAGAATATCATTCCTGGGACTTCGACGCAGTGAATCAACGTGACTATTGCGCCCTGACGTTCCGACATCGCCCCAAAACACCATTTCTATGAGTTACCAATGAGAATCGTTGACGCTCGTGCGAACTTTTGGGATTAATGTGCGCGGTGCGCAGGCGAGGGCCGCATTTTGAAATCGGTCCGCCCTTCATCCGTGAAACTGTTGCAACTTTTAAAGACGAATGTGAGCTGCGCTAAATCGCGGGCTACATTTTGAAAGCCACCCGCGCTGCATCCATGAATCCCTTGACATTGTCAAGAAGACTGTGCGCGGCGCTAAGGCGAGAGCTACATTTTGAAAGCGGCCCGCGCTCCATCCGTGAGATTGTTGCATTTTTTACAGACGAGTGGGCGGCGCGAAGGGGAGGGCCACACTTGTATACCTCCCGCCCTCCATCCGTGGAGCTAATCTTCAGGATCGTAAATGATGAGGATGTCTCAGGCGAAACGCCTGGCCGCGGCCCGCTCTTTCGACCGGCCTCGGGGTGCGACATGGAGGAGTTATCTACCAGGAGGAGGGATGGAAGGGGGACGAAGAGGCACTATCGCGAGACGTGGCGTGGCTGGCGTGGTGGCGAGACGGAGTTCCGCCCCCCCCCCCCGCCCGAAGCAGGGCTTTCGGGGCGTTTGGCGAGGGAGTGAACGAAAGAGGAGGAGGAGGAGGAGGAGGAGGAGGAGCAGGAGGAGCAGGAGGAGCAGGAGGAGGAGCAGGAGGATGATAGTGGAGGAGGAGGGAGGAGGAGGAGGAGGAGGAGGAGGAGGAAGAAGAGGAGGAGGAGGAGGGGGGGAGGAGGAGGGGGAGCAGGAGGAGGAGGAGGAGGAGGAGGAGGAAGAGGAGGAGGAGGAGGGGGAGCGGGATGATGGAATTGTTTGCAGGATATTTGTTGTCTTTCCTGTTGTCACGGTCTCAATTTGTTGAATCCCCCGCGAGCGAACCAGGAGGAGTGGGTGTATTGCCCAAGTGCAGACACATGCAGGCGAATGAGGAGAATCGGGAGGACAGGAACGAGTAGATGAGACCCTCATCTGCTCGTTCCTGACCTCCCGATGCTCCTCATCAGGAGGATGCGATCGTCCAGACTTGTCGAGGACAATGCCTTATTGCTTAACGGTGGTATGCCGAGGCTCGCTGGAGTCCAAGGGGCCCAGACCCCCGACGTCGTGACTTTTTCACAACGTCGACCCCAAGAGGTGACCGCTATCCACGGGACCGGTTTTTCATCCCGAGTTGCTTTTTCACGGTCCCGAGGCCGGGTGAGGGCCTCGGGAGGCCGAAAACAACGAGACACTTCTCGTCGTGCTTTTCTTTCTCACAACGCGAGGGAGCCCTGGGACCTCGTACGGGGATCATCCACCCACCTGCGCATCCAGCCAGCCCAGGCGTGGAGAACGACTTCGACTTCGACTTCTGACGGCGGGCTGCCCTGGCAGTCGTCTTCCCCGGCGTGCCCCCCCCCTCGCCTCCGGAGGGGGCCTGCTGCCCTCCCCCCACCGAGTGTGCCCCACTGCTCGCAGAGTGCCTGCTCGCAGATGGCCGAGGAGCACACGGTTGCCTCGATGTGGTGGATCGCCAATTCCCCCGCGGCGAACCCAGGCAGGCCACTTTCGCAAGCCTAGAGATTGACACCAACACCAATGTCGGCGGTGTGCCTCCACCGAGGGAAGAAAATCCCGATCTCGGTGATGGTGGTAATATTCTGGCTTCCAAGGTGACCGAACTACTGCCACCAATACCGAAATCTAGGATCATCTTCACCCTGTGGAGGCAAACCCCTGTGTTGGTGTTGGTGCCCACTTCCAGGCCTCCAACACTTGCGAGCAGTTCCCTGTGCGAGCAGGGGGACGCGCTCACTGCACCGCACGGCCCCCCGCGCGGAGACTCGGGCGTGCTGCACGCGCCGACGGCTCGCCTCGGAGCCCCGTGGCCCCGGCGTCGCCCGCCTCCAGGAGGGGGGGCCTTGCTGCTCTCCCGTGCGGCCCCTCGCGCGGGAGACAGGACGTGCCGTACGTCGACGGTTCGCCTCGGCACGCGTGCCCCAGATGCGGGTGCTCCACCAGCGACGGGATCCTCCCCTCCCCCTCTCCACGATAGGCCGATGTTCCACCACCGCCGCGGGAGAGGGAGGAGGAGGAGGAGGAGGAGGAGGAGGAGGAGGAGGAGGAGGAGGAGGAGGAGGAGGAGGACCTCCCCATCCTGCCTTCTCCCCCGTCCTACATATGGTAGCGGTGGTGGTGGAAAGTTGACCCATCACTCCACCTTCGTACCCCGCAGACACATCGCAGCGCGAGGGAGCACGCCCTGCGACGGTTCGCCTCGGAACGTGTGCCCCTGATCCAGGTTCGGCGGCGAGCGAGGGGGGGGGGACGTGAGAAGGAGAAGGCCTTCTCAGAAGGCGGCGGGACTTCTCAGAAGCCCTCGCGCCTTCAGAGAAGTGTTCTGTGTCCTCTAGGAAGGCTCAGGCAACTTCTCAGAAAGCAGGGGGACCTCCGAGCATTCCGAGAAGGCCCGCCCCTTCTCACTCCCCCCCGGGCTCGCCGCCTACAGGTACCCCATCAGCGATATAAGCTTCCTCTCCCCCTCCACCCTCGTACCCCGCGAGCACACTGCAGCGCGAAGACACTTTGCGATACAGTGCATTGCGTTGCGCTGCATTCCGAGGCAAGGCAATTCGGGTAAGTTCAAGGCAAAACCAGAACAAGGCGAATCAAAGCAACGCGAGCCATGACAAACAGTACATATCCGCAAAGCTCATCATAGCGAAACACAGCGCCCCAGGGACAGCAAGTCAATGCCATTCCAAACGATGCATGTATAATGCTTTGCTTTGCGCATCCCGTCGTCAGCATTACATGTAGCGTGTCCCGCGCTATCAATGGCAGAAACGAATCCTTACTTGCGGTCGCGCCGTGATCATTCTGGGGCATGGGGAGCACGTCCACGGGAGAAAGAGCCAAGCACGTGGGTGGGCAATTTAGTAACCTCGTCGGTCCACGTCGAATGGAACTCGCTAGTCTGGGTGGGCCACCCTGCAGTTGGGCTGAGACGGCAGGAAAGGTACACGGTTGGAATCCTCAGCATTGCGCAGTATGTAGTTCCCCAGTCAGGCGTTGCTTAATGGTTTTTAATTCCTTGGTAACGGAAAACTCCCCAAGACGGCCCAAGAGGCTTCCAAAAACGACCAAGACGTCCTAAAGACGGCCCAACAGAGGTTCGAGAGGACTCCACGCTGGCCCAACACCATTCCAGCATAGCTCAAGACCGGCAAAGAGCGTTCGAAGATGGCCTCAAGAGGCTTCAAGACGGTCCCAGGGGGCCCAAGACGGCCAAAGAGGGCCCAAGAGGCCTTCAAGAGTACCCCCCAGAGGGCCTCAGGATGCCGACGACATTTATCTCGAATATGTTCTTGTCGTTTTTCGGGGTCCAGGTTTGTCGAGCTTCCGACCGCCCAACACGGTCAAACAGGCCCGACAGATCGCCCCAAGACGGCCTATGAGGCCCCAAAGAGGGCTCCAAGACGGCCCAAGAAAGCCACAACGTCCCAAGAGGGTCAAGAGGGATTCAGAGGGGCCCTCGAGACTCCCAAGAGAGTCCCAAGAGGGCAGTTGGAGGCCCCAAGACGGCCGAACAGGGCCCCAAGACGGCCAGTACCCCCCAGGAAAGCCCAAGAGGCACCGGGGACGGCCCAAGAGCCAAGGGAGCGGACCCCGCAGACGGCTTGAGGGGGCAGAAGCACTCCCCAACCAGTGCTGGCACCTGGGGGTTCGGGCTTCTGTTCTAGAGAACTGGGCCGATGTGGCGGTCTGGCGGCCAGGTTGTCGCCGTCGCCGCCCCGTCGCCGCCTCGTCGCCGCCCGTCCTCTGGGCCAGTGTGGCGGTTTGGCGGCTATGTTGGCGCCGTCGCCAGCCAGTCGCCGCCTCGTCGCCGTCGTTTGGGCCAGTGTGGCGGTCTGGTGGCTTCGTTGGCGCCGTCGCCGCCTCGTCGCCGCCTAGTCGCATAAGTGCACCACATCTATTCTCCTTTCTAAAAGATTCTATAGGCTGACGCCACATCCGCCGACCCCTCATCTTGGCGGTCTTGCCGGTTCGCTTGAATCGGGCTGGGGAGTCGTGTAGGGGTCCATAATGACCTCTCTTGGGGCCATGTGGAATCCGCGGTGATCGTTAATAGATTCTCCCCCCCTCCCCCCCCCGGACTTATCGGTTCCCCCTGGGATGGTATGATTTCATATATATATATATATATATATATATATAAATTCTGCACACTCGTCCATCCTAAATATGAAATCATAGCATCCCAGCCAAGCCGGGTTCCCCCCCCCTGAGGTTCCTTGTAAAGAACACTATGCGGTGACATTTTTTGCTCTAGCATAAGACTTTTTCGCGAATCCTTTGCAAAAAATGAGACGAAGTGCACACGCGCGCGTCGTCGCGCGCGCATGCCGAAATCCTTCAAAAACCTTCGGTTCCGGAGAGATTTCAAAATTGAATTTCCAAAAAACATACAGAAACACAGGGTTTCGCAACACTGATGTGTTAAAACAGCTTACGCGCGAGTTCTTGCGAAATCTTAAGCAAACCATAGGTTTTTCAAGATTTTCACACAAAATGCTACCCGGCGGGCTTCGCGCCCGCATGTCGAAATCTGTCGAACGCCCTTGCGCGTGTGCCGTCGCGAGAATCCTCTGCAAAAAATGGGACGAAGTGCAGACGCGCGCGAAGTCCCGCGCGTATGCCGAAATCCTTCAAAAACCCTCGGTTTCGGAAGGATTCCAAAATCGTGTGTCCAAAAAACCTACAAAAACACAAGGTTTCGCAACACGGGTTTTCAACAAAAGCGTGCGCTCGCGCTCTTGCGTCGTCGTCGTCGTCGTCGTCGTCGTCCTCCCTCCTCCCTCGTCGTCGTCGTCGTCGTCGTCGCCGTCGTCTGTCTTTCCTCGTCGTCGTCGTCGTCGTCGTCGTCGTCTTGGCGGCGTCGTCGCTTCCGTCGTCGTTGTCGCCGTGGTCGTCCTTCCTCCCTCGTCGTCTTCGTCGGCGTCTCGTCGTTGTCCCTCCTATTTCGTCGTCGTCGTCGTCGTCGTCGTCGTCGTCGTGGTCTTCACTCCTCCCTCGTCGTTATCCTCCTCCCTCGTCGTCGTCGTCGTCCGTCGTCGGCGTCTCGTCGTCGTCCCTCCTATTTCGTCGCCGTCGTCGTCGTCTTCGTCGTCGTTGTCGTCGTCGTCGTCGTCGTCTTCCCTCCTCCCTCGTCGTTGTCGTCGTCGGCGTCGCCGTCCTTCCTCCTTCTTCGTCGTTCGCGTCGTCGCCGTCTTCCCTCCTCCATCGTCGTTGTCGTCGTTGTCGCCGTCGTCGTTTTTTCTCCTCCCTCGTCGTCGTCTCGTTGGCGACGTCGTCGTCGTCTTCGTCGTCGTCGTCGGCGTCGACGTCGACGTCGGCGGTGTCGTCGTAGTCGGTGTCTGCGGCGCCGTCGTCGTCGTTGTCGCTGTCGTCGTCGGCGTCGGTGTCGTGGCCAAGTGCCATGTGGTACCTACCGTCACGGTCTTGTCTTAAGAAGTCTTGCGACCAAGTTGCGGGTGGGAGGGTGGGATGCTTGCACGAGCAGTAGAGAGGACAGCTTCAAGACGGTCAAAGTGAATTCTCCTTTCTAAGAGAGTAATAGATTCTACCCCCCCCCGGACTTATCGCTTCCCCCGCGCGTGCTGTAAATCACATATGATTCTGACCACATAACCATCCTAAACATGAACTCATACCATCCCAGCCAAGCCGGTATCCCCCCCCCTGCGGTTCCTTGTCAAATAACTCTATGCGGGGACATTTTTCTTTCTAACATAACACTTTTTCACGAATCCCGGTCAAATAGTACCATGCGGGACATATTCGCGCGCGTAAGACGAAATCCTTCCAAAACCTCAGTGTTCGTAGCGATTTTAACATAAAAACATCAAACACCCAATGGTTTTTCAAAACAAAAGTTTCAAATATTCACCCCGCGCGCTCTTGCGGATTCCTAGGGAACCCACTACTTTTTCAACATTTCTGTCAAAAGGGCTCTTGCGAGCAACTTTTTCCTGCGCTTCGAACTTCTTCAACAACGGCTGCGCGCCTGCCAGGGGCATAATCCTTGTCAAATCATGCCATGCGGGACACATTCGTTTTTTCTTCGCGCGCGCGCCGAAATCTTCAAAAACCATTGGGTTTCTTGAGCATTTCAGCACTGCGTATCATAAAGGCCGATGGCCGGCGGCGACCTGAACCAGGTCAGCCTCGAACGAACTCTGGTGCCGGAGAGCGGGGGCCGCTCGAGATTCAACGCGCCGCGTCGACGGCAGGGAGGTTCGCGCCGCGTCGACGCGGCGGCTACCCCACTGCAGTTTCAAGGTTGAACGATCCCAGGGTCCCGAAGTCGGCCGATACCGAGCGATGTGCGCAAGACGACGACGACCACGACA